ATCTATAGTCTAGCATTTCTGTCAGACATTCGCACTGGGATGTTAATCTGGCCAAGTTGTGTTCGAGCCAGATTCCATCCAATCGGCTCGCTTGGATTATTCTCCCAGTTTCCATTTTGAAGTATGTATATCTTCTTTCTTCTTCGTTTATTATTCTATATGCGTCCTCAAAGTTTGATTCCCTTAGCCATCTGATGAGGCTGTTCTTTTTGGTCGGTCTGCCATTGGCTTTTTCTGATGTCCAGTCTTTTGTGGTTTCTGCCTCGTTAAGGTCACCAGACACTATTGTACCCATATGGCTGTTACTTTCCTTGTCTCTGGTCTGCCATCTGTTGAGTGCTACCATTGTGTCCTTTGTGTTCTCCGCGTTGTCGTCAGACGGCCAGTATGTGTTGACAATTCTGATTGTACCTTTCTTAAACGAAAGTGTTATTGACATGAGACTTGAGCTAATTTTTTCGCATTTTGTGTAGTGTCTATTCCATTTCTCCGTGATTAGAATCCCCACACCCGCAGATTTATGTGTAGTTCCTGTTGCGTTCGTCCAGTATGACAATCCTTTGAATTCGCTATTATATGCACTCATTAGTTTTTGTGCCTGTTTTTCGGTGCACTTTGTTTCTTGTACTAGCAGTATGTCAATGTTGTGATTTTTTACTAATTGGCTGATTTGTATCATTGTGGGGTCATTGAGTCCCCTGCAGTTGTAGGTTGCTATGCGGAGGGTTTCGTCAGGTTTGGTTCTTATTTGGCTAAGTTTTCCTGTATATTCTCGGTTGTGCTGATCTGCTTCATAGGTTACGTTGTTATTCTGCGTTTTTGTTGGCGTTGCCTCGGGGTGTGATTGGCATCTCCTCTTTCTTGTCTTTTTGTTTTTCTGTCATGTTCACTTTACTCCCTGTTAGTGATTTTGCCAGTTTATTCCTTTCCTCATTTTTGCCTATAGGTGTTGCCACTCCTGTTTCTATTCCGGTGTTTTCCTGCGCGGGTTCTCTTTTCCTTTTCTTTATGGGTGTTTTACAGGTTTCAACTTTATTTTCTTTGTCCTCGTCATCTCTGGTGGTGATTAGTATTGTTTCCTTCTGATTGGGTTTGGTTGTTTTGTCCCATAGAGATGTGATTGTTCTTTGTTTTGGGGACTCTTCTTTGGTTTTACTAGCCTTGGTGCCCCCCCGTTGTTTGTTATTTCTTTTTTTGGGCACTTCTCCTATACGTTTTTGGTTTTTGATAGGTTTCGTTAGCTCTTCTAGTTTCCTGTTGATTTTCTCATTTGTTCTCTGCTTTGCGTCTTGGGGTTTTGTGGTTCCTTTGTTCCTTCTGATTTGGGACAGTTTCTCGTGGAGCCAGGTTACCCTTTTTTGTTTGAGTATTTCTTGTTGTTCAGCACTAGATCCTCCCGCCTGGGGGAACGGATTGTTTTCTGTGTCAAGCTTCCGGATTATCGCATCCATTTCTGTGGGTACGTTTGCTTTTCCTTGTATTTCTTCTATCGCTTTTTCCATTTCCTCTTCTGTGATTTCCGTTTTGTTGCGTTTTGTGTTATTGTTCTCGTAATTTGTTACCTCTTCCTCTTGGTTTGTGCCTTGGATTTTTCTTTTGTTACTCATTTATGTGTTCGGCGCATTTCAGCGCATGTTGTGGTTTTTGTTTTTGTTTTTGTGTTTGTTTTGTTTTTTTTGTACAGCAGTTTTATTAGCGACCACTTGAAATGGAGAAGAAATAAATACGGCTGCTGCGTCAGGACGCTACGGCGCCAAGGATAACTAGAGCGACAAGGGAAGATAAAGCAGAAGGGGGATATTACAACGGATATTACAACTATCTTGGAAGGGTTTTGGTGGGGAGCGTTGGTTCTTAGATAACTTCTGTTTTTATCTTTAGTCTTAATTTGACTTGTTGGTTTTGTTTTACCTGCGTCCTTTTGATCCTCCATCACCACATCCTCCATTTCGGCTTTCTTGATCGAGGTCGCTGGGATCGGGGCCGCTGGCCTGTGTGCTGACTGGTGAGTGCTGACTTCCGCTGCTGTTGCCGCAATGTCCATTTTTTCGCTAACAGCTTTGTTTTTTGCAGCTCCTGCTCTTCCTCTGACGTCTCCTTCGGTTCCCTTGGTGGGAGTTCTGCTGGTGTCCTGATTATTGCTGTATTGTGGTTGGTTGCTGTCTCTTCTTCTTCTCTTTTTCATTGATTCCACTGCCTCCAAGACCGCCTTCCATTCATGCTTTGGGACTACCATCGTTTCATTGTCCTTCTCTCCTTCTCTCCAGTGGTGCTCTTTTTTGGTGGAGGTGGGTTCTTCGTTGTTGTTTGCCTCCTCGGCGGACCGCCACTTCACTCCAACAAACTTTTCCAGGCCTCTCACCCTTTTGAATAGTTCGTCAACGTCCTTATCCAAGCAGTCAAAATTTTCGCCCGCTGTTTCGACAATTCTGCGTAGTGTTGGTTCGCCTGTTGTCCCGTCGCTTCCCTTTTCGCGCGCTCCCTTGGCGTTGACCAGCACCTCGACTTCCAGCATTTGGAGCTTTTCTGCCATTTCGGTGAGTGGTCCAGTCATACGTTCCATCCACCTGGCTGTTGATTCTTTTGTGATACCCTCCACCACATGCTCAACCAATTCCCTTAGGTCTTCCGACTCCAGTACCTTCTTGATTGTCAACTCCTTTGGTTTGGGGTTGTTGACGGCTGCGTTATCCAGGCTCTTAGCGGCAAGTCCTGGTGCTGTGCCTGTTTGTTTTCTGAATGCAGTTCCTGGATTCGTCTGATTCACTGTGGCATCTCTCGGTTTTGGTGGTGTGAGTTTGAAGAAGGCGCACGCTTTCTCGAAGCCTTTTGGGTACGGGTTTGTTGACGCTTCTGTAGTTGCTTTCCATTGGCTAATTAGTCCCAGTTTTGCCATGGTCATCCTGTCCGCTTCGCAGTTCAGGAATTTCTTCACCAGTGCTTTCAGCGCGTCGTCAGCGTGCGAGCAGAATTGCGGTAAGTGGTTACCGTTGCAGTGCTTGCAGTATATTCTTCTGACAAACTTTCCTTCTTCTTGGACGAACATGGTGTAAAGCTTGAGTTCGAGGCCTCGGATAGTAACCTGTTTATTTTGGGATTTTTTGTTACTTTGCTTGTGTTTATGTGATTTGAATAAAATGTTTACCACTTTATCTTTGAGACGTTCCATCGCTGTTCTGTCCTTCATGACCACTTCCAGCGACTTTGGGATGTGTTTCCCGTTGTAGACCACTCTCCAGTGCATCATATCAGGTATTTGGTGTGTTTCTGTTTCTAAGATTCGCATGTCCTGCAGAGACGCTGGAAGTTGGGGGATCTCCAGGGTTCTGGTTGCTCCCTCTTGCACTCGGAGCTCTCTGTCAATCATCCTGTCGTACGCAATGACCGCCATGGATCCCATGATGACAAAGCAACCCGGCTTCAGGAATTCTGCTTTCTGTTGTTGGTCTTTGCAGTGGGCAATTGATGTCCAGTTTCCATGTTCATCCTTCTTAGACGATATACTGCTGCAGAAGCGACCTTTTGCTTCAAAGAGTGCTTTGGTGTTGTGGCTGACCGTGTTGGTTTGTTGGATGTGGGAGTTGTATCCGAGGATGACAACTTCGTGGCCGTATGCTAACTCATCGTCTTCCAGTAGAAACGTCTCCACCCCTTCTTCTCCCTTGGTAATGGACAACTCGGACCACATTTTCTGGTAGTCGCCGCGGGAGCACGTGATGTGAAGGAATTCTCCAACTGCCGCGATCCTTGTGTTGTGGACGTCAATCTCGGCAAGTGCCTTCTGGAGGCGTACGGTAAGTGTATTCGAGAACACGTCGGCTGATGTCATGCGGGAAATGGTTTCGGCATCTTCTATCAGGATTTTCACGATTACGGCTCTGGCGGCGTTGTTCATGTTTGGTCTCTCTTGTCTGGTTCGTTGGTTTCCTGTTTTTTCCCTGTTGGCTTGTTTTGGTTTTCTGGGCGGGGTTTTTGTTTGGCGGGTTGAGGTTTCGCCCCGCCCGCAGTTCTGTTTATTTCTTTTTTTGGCTTTAAAACTTTGGATCTCTCTATGTTCAAGCTTCCTTTGGTGTGGGCAGCTTTTCGATTCTTTGTTCTTTTTGTGTTTTTTTTGTAGTTGTTTCTTTTTCTTCAATAAAGTGTTAGTATTTTTACTTTTCGTTGTTTCAGCGCGTTTTTCTAGATAGTCTTTATCAACTTTATAATCTTCATCAGCTCTTTTACTTTTTGATTCTCTTATATTGCTCATCATCGTTTTTTGTCTCTTTATTAGTTTAAATGCTCTCAGACGAAGGTTGGGTTCGTCTGTCATGTAAACATGCCCCAGACTACAACCATCCTCGTACACCATGGTGTTTGAGCATTCGGAGGGACCACACTTGTATGCAGTGTGTGGTCCAGGGCGCAGTAACTGCCTGCCCGACTCTCCTAAAATAAAAAACATCATACTGACCTCTACTCTAGTTCCTTCCGCGTTCCCTCCCGGTCCTGCGCTTCCTTTTATGCTGTCGTTTTTTTCCCTGCAGCGTAAGGTAGCTGCAAGATCCTCGGTCCAGTTCGCGCTCCTGTCAAATGTGGTTCCAGATCCAGTGTAACGTCCAGCCCCCGCGCGCTCCGCTGCCGCCACGTCATCCCACCCACCGTGGACAGCAGCGACAGACGCGCGAAGGCCCTTGTTGGCTGGGCCTTCGTTTGTTTGATGCATGCAGTGGGTGTTGTTGTTGTGGTTGACCGCGTCGGGGTTTGAAATGTTTTTTTTTGCATGCCCCCGTCTCTGCACTGTAGCAGGGAAGTTTGCGGTTGCCCTTCATAATGAAGCAAGTGTTAGTACTGGTAAGGCCCGGGTAGCGCAGCGGCAGCGCATTTGCCTTCTAAGCAAGTGGTCGTGGGTTCGATCCCCACCTTGGGTGCTTTTATCTTATTAGTATAAGACTTTCAGACCACAGAAACCCTAACATGCCTTAGACCCTCCAAGTTTCCAAAACACAATCAAAGACTCTTGCCGCCTGCGTGGATCGAACACGCTACCTTAAGATCTTCAGTCTTACGCTCTCCCAGATGAGCTAAGGCGGCTCTGAGCCTCTCAGTTGGTAACGGTATACCCATCGATTAAACCGGTATACCTATTGATTAAACCCTAATGAAACCATGTGTGTATACTGACTTGAGGCTGTTGGGAGCCCTCAGCTCTTGTCGGGCCAAGATAAATGATTTGGGCCATCAGAGAAAATTGTTTTGTGCATACAAATCAAACATAAGCTTTATGAGCTCTTTGGAACACTTCCCATCTTGAGCAACTGCCCTTAAACACATTTGAAGTTGCTAAGGGCCTTAAATTGCATACTATTGAAAGCTTGCCAGTATGCATGTTTGGAAGATGCAACACATCCATTTGGTCTAGAATTTTGACTGTGTTGTAACATGGCCACACAGGATTCCTACCTCCCCCCTTCCTTCAGGTAGGTAGCGGTGGTTCCAGGGTTACAGACCAACCCACCGCATTTTCAACACTCTCCCCCAATCTCCAATCTCTCACTCCCACATGTTGCTGCGTGTGAAAGTTCAGTAGTTCACAGTTCAGCGGCCTGATGGCGCATGATACTGACTATGCAACTTGGACTCTAACATTTTCCAAATGTTAACAGCAACAAATAAAGAAGAACAAATAGGAATAAAGGAATAACATAAATAAGGAGAACAACAACACATGCACATGTCCCCACTTCTTATGTCACTTGCCTCACTCCTGCCATCCACCTTTGTCTCGCAACTCGCCAATGTTTGACTCAGACCATGCCACTCCCGCGCCATGGGTCACCCAGAAAATACTTATTGTTATATTGCGTCCTAACCCTAACCCTAATCACAACCCACCAAAGTAAGTAAAACCCAATTCCTCCAAATAATAATTAACATATAAATAATTTAATAAGTAAAAGGGAAATAAAGATAAGAGTAAAAGTAATACCCTTAGTGAAATGGAATTCTGGTTTCCCACTTCAGTGCAATTGAACCAGGCTTTTGGTGAATCTTATCTGATGCAGTTCTAGTGACCTTAGGGAGAAATTGGACTTCTAAAAACTTAATCCTGTATTTCAGTGAACAGTTGATTTGTGCCATTTCTTTGCTAGTCTGTTGAGACACTGAAATTACCTCCACTTGTGCCACCTGCCAGGTTCCTCCCCAAAAAAGCATATACCTTTTATTGACTGGCAATTCAATTCACCAGCACTCAGGCAGCACATTTTCCTCAGAAGGGATAACACAAATCCTGTGGGAGTGTTGCGCCTGTGATAGGGACCTAGAGTCTGGGTGTTTGTTGTTCCTAAACTCTCTTTTGTGGTTCTGATTATGCAGAACTTGCGCAATACAGACCATTTTGGTCAAATGTGATGCGCCCTGCCATTTCCTGTACATCAAAGTATTATGCATAGGGTTAAGTAACAAACAGCCTCTATGATACAATGAGCAGCTGTGGAGTTGGAGACCATCAAGGGCAGATGGCCGAGCGGTCCAAGGCGTCACGTTAAGGCCGTGATCTATTCGTAGGCGTGGGTTCGAATCCCACTCTGCTCATATACTGCTTTTATGTAACAAGTAAGGAGGAAATAATGTTGGAATATTTGGGTTTTTCTTTATGACCTCACATTGCCGAAAAATCTTATTACAAGTTTTGCATCCTGGTCCTGGCGGCAAGTTCCTTCATGTTCTTCATGTTGAGAGTATGGATATGGTGAAAAAGGGGTTCCTGGTGAGAATAGTCATTATGAGTGGAATGAAACCCTAACTGAACCTTTGAGGGTTAGGGTTAGGGTTATGGGTTTCAGATGCACAGACTAATGTGCCAACCACCACAAGAAAATTCACTTGCGCCGTATAGTGTTGCTTCCTGTGAATGTCTGAGCCTCATACTATGTGTGCAAGCCTTGTCGCAAAGTCAACTTTCCTGCCATAATGTCAAATTGGGTTTCTTCCCTGCTTATTCTGCGCCATCTTGAGCTTCATTGTTGCCACAAACTTCCCATTCCTTCTGTCAACACCAAGCGGCTGCTCTTTTGCAGCTGCAAGAGATTGCAACAGTTCAGTGAACAATCAGTCGGAGATTGATGATGAAGCTATTCAACTGATTCTTGGAAGGATCTTGCCACTGCCAATTTGATGGACTCTGACAGTGGAGAGAGGGGAGGTTTCCATCCAGAAGCAGAATTCAAATAAAGTTTGGGACACTTACATGCTAGAGCCAGTGCCAAATAAAGTGGCCTTGAACCAAAAGGGGAGAACGGTGGCCCACCATTAAGCAATTGGAAGAAGCTTGATGGAGTAACAGATCTTGCTCTGCCACAAACATTAATGAATATCAAAATGCCATATGTTAAAGATCAATTGCTTTTCTTCAATCAGTGGGTTTGGCTGGGAAAGAGCCCAATTCAATCAAAATAGTAATGATGTTTAAGATCAATTGCTTTGGCTTCAATCAGCAGGCTTGGATGGAAAAGAGATTTTATTTGTGGATGTATGATAAATATTATTGTGGGTTCTAAAGCAAGAAATGCAAACCTGGATTTTATTTGTGTGCGTCAATAATGAATATTATTGAGGGTTCTAAGGCAAGAAATCCAACCTAAGAATGCTACTTGGGGCTGCTCTTTTTTTTTATTGGCATTAAAAACCCAACGTTTACAAAACCAAAGAATACCCTGCCTGCATAAAATGAGATTTCCAAGGTTGTACCAAAACCCTTTGAATCAAGTGCTCAGTGACTTGAACATCACAGCCAGAATCCAAAACAATAGCCCCAATGATGGACTCTAAAATATCTCCAGCCACCTTTGGTGCAGAAGATAAACTATGCCAAAATAAGGGTTTCTGTGTGTCTGTTCCTTTGCGTTGTTTGAAGATGCTTATTTGATTCAAGTGAGTGATCTCTGAGAAGATGATGACAATTGGGTATGGTGGGACCCTTCCAGTGGGAGCATCCGTTGCGGCCTGGAAGGCCTGCGGGGTGCAGTTCTTCTGCACTGCTGCGTCGGCAATGAGGGCCGCCTTGTTGAATTCGGCCATGATGTCTGCAACCCTATGGGATGCTGCTCCCGTGATGGTGGCGATGGCGGCAAGGATGTCTGGGTTACTTGTGTAACCTAGGGTTCGTCGTGCAGAACAACTTGTCCAGCATTTTAAAGGGCCTCTGTAGATAAACTGAGGGTTGAACCCTGACCCTTACCCTATCCCTTCGAAGTTGTTGGGTGGTGGTGGTGTTGGTTGTTGTTGTTGATGTTGTGGCTGCTGCTGCTGTAGCTGCTGTTGTTACTGCTGCCGTTGGTAGCGCTGCAGTTGCTGCTGGTGCTGGGCAGCATGGAAAGCCTCAGCTGCCGTGCAGAAGCCCTGGAGGCGGTGGGTTAGTGGGGTCAATGGTGTTGGCCAGGTTGCTGACACAGAAGGCTGGGTACTCATCCCATTCCAGGTTCTCTGGCATGGGTGGTTGGACTGGGACTGGAAGTCCAAACAGTCCGTCCCAAGCTGGGTGGGTTTTAGCATTTACCTGGTCCACCAGGGTCTGGAAGACCTTGTCTGGCGTGTCCACTGGTAGGTCCATGGCGTCGACTATGGCTTCTACCATGTTGGGGCTGAAGGCAGCAAACAACAGGGTCAACACTTTGGTGTTTGCGGGGGCTGGGCGGGCGTCGGCCATACGGAGCAGGAGTGGAAGGGAGTAGGCTGAGGGGTTTGGAAAAGCGGAAAGTGTCCTAAATTGGACACCATCCAGCTTGACAAGGCTTGACTGGTGGGATCACTAAATGTATCAATCCCACACAGCTAAGCATTAACGCGTATTATAAAAATATATCTTCCTTATACATTCCTGCTTCAAACAATATTATTCAGTTGTATTAAAATAGTATGTGAAAAAAAATCAATGCTCAAATGATCCTTGCGGATGGCTTACAACTGCACCAAAGTTGAGCTGTTTGCTTGTTTTAAGGGTTAGTGTACTTATTCAATCACCCACAGTTATTGGCTTCCCATTGAGTCTAGACATGACCATGTGAAATCCCACATCACATTTTGTATGACAGAAACTCAAAAGTACTGCTTTTATTACTTGCAAAGAGAACTAATCCATACAGTCAGTCAATTGATTTGTTGAAAGCCATGACTTGAGAAGTGTTGGGGAATCAGTACAAATACCATTAGCACCACCATTCCTGGACACATTATAGCAGTAAGCATTTTGTACAAAGAATAATCGGCAACAACTTACTTGACAAATTCAAACTTTTCAACTGTGTTCAGACCACCTCCGGGGCCACCGCCATCTTTTCCACTTCCCCTGCAGTTTTTTTTTTTTTTTTAGCTAACGGCTGCCATTTTGCTGTGGTTTGTTTGGGAAATATCCTTACCAGACCACTACTTGTATCCCCTTCTGATTCAAAACTTTGAACCAGCTCTTTCGCATTAGGAACCAGTAATCAGGTATAGCCATAAAGCTCTCACGATATTGAATCCAGTCAGCAAGGCCAAACAAAGACAAGACAAACGACAGAATCACACGTGGCTTGCAAAAGTGAAGAGGAATTTCTGGGAAGTTCTTGAAGCAAAGGTTTGTTTGATGTTGGTGAAAAGATCCCCATACAGTGAGATGTGTCCTGTTGAACTTTCGCAACATGTTTCCGACTTTAATCTATGTGGCAGAGAGTTTAGTGAAAAAGGCGACAGGCATTTTGCAAACTCAACAATATCTTCTTCTTTAGCGATTTTGACGTCAATTGAGATAGGGATCCTTTGTAGTTTGGTCAGTGTATCGTCTACAAGCCCAATATTCATACAACACACATGGGGTGCTCCTCCAAAACTTCTTCCAGCAATGGGATCCTGGTTGCATCTGGATCATCATTCAAAGTCGCTTCAATAGACTTTAAGCAGTCTGGAATCAAGAGCCTTGGCAAATCCGTGTAGTTGTAATCTGAAACTGCTTTTTCCTTGATCCCACAGACCCTTTCAATAGTGTGATCGTGGAACACCACGATCTGACCGTCTTTGGTAGTAGAGATATCCAACTGTAAGCACATGGTGAA